CTTACTGCTACTGCAAATTTTGAATTTATGTGTTGCCATTCCTGTAAAGCACCCTTATAAATAAGTCTAATAAATAAGTCAGCCCACACACATTTCTGGCAGTGATAGCAGAATATCCAAGGAAATAATCTTTCCCACTTAGCCCACACAAACAGTAGGTGAGCGACTATTCACAAGCATTGACTTGGCTTTTTGTGAGTATTATTCTTACTTCGCAGCTGGCAGAACCCAGGCATGACCAGTTTGTTTCCATCCCAATTGGTGACAGTCCTGAGTTTTAGCCTAATGTTTCATCTGCTAAAATGTGCTGCCGTTATAATTGCTTTCCGCAAATTTCTTATAAAAGTTCCAAAGATGAAGAGATCACATCTAGTATTCTTCCTGCTGCTGCATTCAGTGAAGTTTGTTTCATTTTGGTGAATATTGATATTGGAGCCAAGAGCATGTTCTGTGACTGAAGAGTTCTTAAGTGGACCTTAACTGTTTTTGGAATTTGATCTTCAAGGAAGATTTCTTTATGTATGCTTTCTTTTTCTATGTATCCTTCCTTATCATCAAGTAAAAGCTATCAGACAACATTGAGTATGGGCCTTATAACAGACATTTGAATTTGAGATGAATCAAAGAAATAAAAGCATTTCTTGCCCTCATAAAACTTATAAGCTAAGACAGAAATGTTAGTTTATATTCGTATATATAGCAGGACATTTACAAGGGATGAACCACTTTCTTGCCCTTTCTTGGGCTCTAACCTAACTTCAAGAGTATACTTACTAGCAAGAGAAAGAAAAAAAATCCTAATTATAATAATGATTGCTGTGATGATAGATGTAGGAAACTTTGATGACCTCTAGAAATTTCACTTATTGGGCTACATGTGCCTTGAAACAGTGAAGGTTTCCAGAAACAGTGAAGGTTAACTTGAGAACTCTTCAGTCATAGAGTATGTGCCCTTGGCTCCAATATTGTTATTATGACTGATTACAAGGATCATTATACACTGCATCATAAAAGCTTCCCCTCCAATATTCTGATTCAAGTCATTGTGCTAAAATTCTTGGCTTCCTGATTATAACAATCAGACTTTTCCAAGTTTGTGTTTTATGTCATCCCATAATTTGGAGAATAATTGTGAAATAAAACTCGTCCAAAAATTCAGATGGTCTTCAAAGCAAGAAAGCTACTGAATGAGAATATTACTAGATTTTTATTGTTCCACTAAAATATTAATGACTTAGAACGCAATTTTTGAAGGCACAGGTCTAAAACTATTTCAAAGAAATTGAGAGCAGCAGATTAAAGAAATGAAATGTGGTTCACAGTTGCTCTGGGAATTAGTTCCTAGAAGTAGAGAAACAGAATCTAAAATCAGGCATCTCATTTAAATGTGCTGAGGGAACTCAACATTGACCCTGGATCTAGTCTTATCTTTAAAATAATTTGCCTGATTTTCAGTGTCATTTTGTCAATACCTTCTAAGGTTATAATAATAATATAAAATCACACCTTTCTTTAGAACTTTAAGGTTGGCAAAACACTTTCCTCATAACAATCCTTCAAGGTAAAGAGTGCAAGTATTAATACTCCATTTTACAGATAAGGGCAAAAAAGGACTCAGTGAAGAAAATACTTTCCTATGACCACTAAGTTTCTTGTTGTAGTTAATAACTAGTAAATGTTAGAATTAGGACTAGAACCAAGGTCTTCTGGATTTCCAAGTTTTATGCTCTTTCCACTACACTATGCCTCAACTCTGTTTATGAGGCTAACCATAGATTATTGCCCTTTTCACCATGAAAATATCACCAATAAATTCTGCACTTTGGGTGAACACAGTGAACTTTTAAAATAAGTAAGAGGTATTTTTTTGCACAGAAAGAACCTGTAGAATTAGAAGTGCAAATATCAGTTAAAAGTAGACTGTAATGTTTTGTTCCCCTTCATAATATCCTATCACATAGTGTTAGCAACACTGACTGGTTGGCATTAGTGTTGGTGTTAACCTTTAGCAACCTGATGATGCATGAATTCCTCAGTATAAATTTGATAGGGATAAAAATACCTTCCATCTCCCATGATTTCCTTATACAATAATTAGTAAAGTTCACTGTGTCATCCAGTTGCTAATGAATTGTGTGATAAGGAGAGCAGTGGAAAGTTCCTCCTCATAATGTTATTCATCAAGTTCAGTTTATTTCTTACCGAATGAGTCTGTTAAATTCCTGCTACCACCGTGACATACATTACGGGGAATGAAAGAAAAATATATGGCAGTCCCTGGCCCTGCAGAGTTTACAGTCTTATTGCACAGATAAGAATGCATGCTTCTCCCTCTATAATCCATGGGTTCTTTCTCTCACCCTATCAACTGTAAGACCTCTCAGATCTTTCCCACCTCCCCCAGAACCCTAGGTATGAGAAAGCCTCTTTTATTTACAAGAACGCCATAATACATCTTCATTAGTACAAGGCAGTCAAGTCATATGCATATTAAACTTAGGTGAATTCAACTTTACAGCTGCCACAGAAAGAGATAATAGTTTGACTGTTGTGTGCCCATTCTCCACTATGAGCACGTGTCCCGGAATGTGAGAATGAAATAAGGAACCTTCCCACCACCTCCACCACACCATGTGATTCTAAGGTCTCTTCTTCAACATCTCCAAAGACTTTCCATTCATTCAGACAGTCTAGGGCAGGGAGGGGATATGGGACACTGGATTTGGAGTCAGGAAGACCTGAGTTCAAATCCTGCTTCAGACACCTAAGTAAATCACAAGCTTTCTCAGCCAGCCTCAGTTTCTTCATCTGTAAAATAAAGACAATAAGAGCACCTACTTCACAGGGTTGTTGTAAGGATCAAATGAGGTAATATATATAATGTGTTCTGTAAGACATCAAGTTTTCATAAGCATTAGCTTTAGTTAACCTTTTAATCTGCTTAGGCTGGGAGTGGGGAGGTAATCCTAGCTAGCCTACCTAACATTCCTGGTTGACTAGAAAGCCCCTACCTTTGACTTCTTTGTGTTCTGTCTTGCCTCCTGGTGAAACAGGAATAAGAAACAATTACACGGTGATATAATCACTTTCAAATATCATAACATTTATGTGTGAAACCTTTTCAATAGAATTTTTCCCCTAGTTTTCCTTACATCTAAATCTTCTTACTTCTAAATTTTTTTCTCTTTTGGTAGGTATCTTGGTTTCCCTTATCTAGTGGTCAATAGCTGAAAAATAAAATTTCCATTCAGTTGTTTCCGTTAGAACCATCCTAGATTCTGCTACTTTCTGATACCAACTACCATAATAACTACTTTATTTTAAAGAGACCTTAGCCCCTTTCCAGCTGTGTCTGTTTAAAGCTCCCCTACTGGAAAAAATGTTCTAAATCACTAATAATTAGAGAAATGCAAATTAAAACAACTCTGAGGTATCACCTCATACCCTTCAGATTAGCTAATATGACAGAAAAGGAATATGGCAAATGTTGGAAGGATGTGAGAATATAGGTGCACTAATGCACTGTTGGTGGAATTTGGAACTAATCCCACTATTTTGGAGAGCAATTTGAGACTTTGCCCAAAAAGCTATTAAACTATACGATAGTTTAATAAGACCCTGCAATACTGCTTCTAAGTTTGTACCCCAAAGAGATAAAAGGAAAAGGATTTATAGCAACTCTTTTTGTAGTGGCAAAGAACTGAAAACTAAGGTGATTCCCTCAACTGAGGAAAGTCATATGTTACGGTATATGAAGGTGGTGGGATATTATTATACCGTAAGAAATAAGGGGATGGTTTCAGAAAAGCCTAGGAAGACTTACATGAACTGATGCAAAGTGAAGTGAACAGACCCAGGAGAACAATTTGCACAGTAACAGTAATATTGTAAAGATAATCGACTATGAAAGGCTTAATAACACCAATCAATACCATGACCCATCACATGATGAAAATTACTATCTACCTCCAGATGGAGAACTCATGTAATCAGAGTGCAGAGTGAAGCATATTTCTTCTTTTTGTTTCTTTTTCTTGGTTTTATCTTTTTTTTCCAGAACATGGCTAATGCAGAAATATGTTTCACATGATTATATTATGTTTTTATATATATGTATATATATGTATATATGTGTATATATATATGTATATATGTGTATATATACATACATATATATATAATATTTCTTGCCTTCTCAATGAGTGGGAGAGGAGTGGGAAGAGGGAGAGAATTGGCAACTGAAAATAAAATTGGAAAAAAGACACCATGCTTGTGGGTGTTTTTAGTGATTTTCCAAAGGTAATTTTGACTTCATGCAATTTTCACCCTTGTGCTGACTTTACAACCTAACCTACCCTGCAAATATGTGATTCCACTGTAGTAAATTTCACCGCAGATTTTCTGAAAGTGCTAAAGCTACATATGGCCAAGTCGCTGTGAGGGAAATTATGCCAATATTAATGCAATAGATTGAAAATGAATTAAGTTCCTCTAAAACCTCCATATTGGTTTAACGCCTTTAGGTAGTATTCTTAACATGTTTCACTTTGTGACAGATTAACTTGGTCCTTCTGAAGTTTTCTTATCTGGTGAATAATCTTCTGCATGCATAGCAGAGCCAAGTTAATTGTCTATAAGAGTGAGAAAAAGGAAAGCTATAATGAATTACTGATTACTAGCCTACTACAACCTCAATCTTAAGACACTCAAGGAATCTGCTATAAAAATGTCATCAGATGAATAATTAAACTGACATCATAAGGAGAAATAGAAGTACTCAGTTACTGACATTTTATCAGTCACAAAATCCCTGACCTCATTTGCTGAGCAAAGCTGTTCTGTAATTCAAAGGCAAATTCAACTCAACATTGTCAACAAGAAGTTTGAACCTCTACATCCCAAGGATCATGGCATATGGAGTCTCTTATATGACCGTGGAAAATAGGTAGATAAAGTTGGGGATATACTATGTGCTTCTTATGTTTCTCTCTCTTTAATAGGCATTTGGGCCTGGACCTAGTTCCTCGAAAGGACTTTGAAGTGGTGGATTCTGATCAGATTAGTGTCTCTGATCTCTATAAAATGGTAAGAAATCTAAGGGAAGGTACATATCTAAGGAACTCTAGAGGTGCTGAAGGAGGTCACTTAAGACTGGGGAACCACTTGGGCAAAGGCCTGGAGGCAGGAGACAAAATGTCACATATAGGTAATGATAAGCAGTCTGGTATGATTGAAACAGAGAAATAAGACCAAATTGTAAGTAGGCAAGGAGCAGATTGTGGAGAATTAAGATTTTCTGTATTTTATCATAAAAGCCTCCCAAGTGCCCTTCCCATTTTTAGCTTTTCCCTACTTCTAATAACTCTTTCAGAGAGCTGCCAAATCAATATTCCTAAAACAAAGATCTGACAAATTCATTTTCCTATCCAAAAATTTTCAGTGTTTCCCCATTGCTTTTAATTGAGACTTGTCTCAAGTTTCAACTCCCTTTTAACCTTTTATGTTATCCCTCTTAATTAAAGATTAAGGGTTTGACCATCTTTTTGTGTGAACAAGATAAAAATGGAAGTCAAGAGAGTTAGGAAGTATGATTACATAAAGTTAAATAGATTTTGCATGAATTGTTCAGTCAGAATTCTGTATATATTGTCAGATGAAATTACTGTATTGGATGTTTTTGCTAATCATTTTTCTTTGTCGTAAGGGAAAGTTCAATCGGACGAAGGGGAAGGGCTCCCAGAAATTACTATGATTTTAAAGCATAATGCATGAATAAAAAATTTTAAAACAAAAAGAAAAGCACAGACAAAGCTTATAATCCCTAATTTCCAATGGAACATCCCACCCATCACCTCCCTATGACATAGCTCCATCCTATTCCCTATGACATAACTCCATCCTACTCCCAAAAGCCCACTGCTCATAGACCTCATAGTCCTCAAGTAGTCCCCTTACTGCCTATCCAGATAAAGACTTAAGTTTACTGTGGTATGCTTTCAGCCATCCTATTCTCCCTTTGATTCCAGCTTTCTGTTATCTTTTCTTTTATCCATTATCTTTTTGCAATAGCAATAATTCTCCTTGCTATTATTCTTTTTCAGGCAACAAGTAAGGCAAATTAACAATCATTTATTGAGCGCCTACTATATTTAAGACACATTGCTAAGCACTGGGGAGTACAAAAGAAGGCAAAACAGTCCCTGTCCTCCAGAAGTGTATAATTTCAGGCCGAGACAATCTATAAAGAACTAAGTACAAGCAAGACATTACCAGCAAAATTATAGACAATCATAACAGGAAGGCAGTTGTATTAAAGGGAAAGACTTCTCACAGAAGATAGGATTTTTAGTTGAGGTTCAAAGGAAGGCAGGGAATTCAGGAGAGAGAGCATTCCAGAAATGGGGAAGAGACAGTGAAAATGTAAGGAATCAAGAGAAAATGTCTTGTATGGGAACCTCAAGGAAAACAGTGTCTTTGTATCATAGAGCACATGGAAAGAAGTAATGTATAAGATTAGAAAGGTGAGAAGGGTGAGATTATGAGGATTTTTAAAAGCAAAACAGAGGCCTTTATATGTGATTATTATTAAATAAAGGAATATCAGAGTTCATGGACATGAAATGGAACAGTTGTAAGTGATGGCAAGATCAAGGGTATGGCCATCTCTACATGCAACTGAAGTGAGGTAGGGCAGGAGGTCAGGCGAAATGAGTAGGTTGAGGAACTGAGAAGTTGGGGTGTTTGAGGGACTATCAGTGTGTATGTTGTAGTCACCTAGTATAAGGTCAGGAGTTGGTGAAGAAAGGCTATGAGCTAGACACTGACCTGAGTGAGGAAGGAAGGAGAGTGTCCTGAAGGTGGAAGAAAATAGCTACCAGAATCAACTGGCACAGAAATGTAAGATGGGGTGATAAATATGGATTGAGTGAACCTCCAAGGAAGAGAGGTTACTGAGTGATGGTAGTAGAGGGAGACTCTGGGAGGCTAAAAAATCTGTCGTGCTTTAGATGAAATAGAAAAAAATTAGGGGTAGCAAAATGAGCTCCAGATGGCTATATTACTTAGTTATGAAAGGTCAGATCACAAACAAGTTAAAGACACAAAAAAGAAAATCCTGTTCGAAACTGTGGATAAAAGAAGAATGCATGACTAAATAAGGGTTAGAGCGGATCACTGAGGTTAAAACAGACAATTTTTATTACACAAAATTTAAAAGTTTTTGCATAAACTAATCCAATTCAGCAAAGATTAGAAGGGAAATAATTAACTGGAAGGAAAAAATCTTTGCAGAAAGTTTCTCTAGAATATACACAAGTGTGTATAAATATGCACATATGTGTAAATATACATATGTGTGTATACATTTATGTAGAACTGATTCAAATATATTGGAATAAGAACCATTACCCAATTGGTAAATAATCAAAGGATAGGAACAGGCAGTTCTCAAAGAAAAAAATCCAAGCTGCATAAAGCCATATGAAAAAATGCCTCAGACCACTAGTAATGAGGTGAATAAAAATGAAAGCAACTCAGATGTTTTCCCTCACACCCATCAGACTGGCAAAGCTTACCAAAAAATGAGAAATGTTGGAGGGGCTGAAGGGAAACAAGTGTATTAATTCACTTGTGGAGCTGTGAATCACTCCAGTCATTCTGGAAAGCAACTTGCAACTATGCCCAAAAAACTAAACTGTTCAGACCCAGCAATACCACTACTAGGTCTATACTCCCAAAGAGATTAAAGAAAGAAGAAAAGAACCCATGTGTTCAAGAGTCCTTGTAGCAGCTCTGTTGCTTTCAGATCAGATTAGATACTAGAGATGATTCCAATACATTGGAAGGGATAATTCTTCCATAACCCCAGACAATCAAGATAATCAATCAAGTTATATAGTTCATGTACTTGTAGCATCCACATAAGTTAGTTTTCATACCTTTTAAAGTCTTAGGTCTTTGAGTGAGGGGTCTGTCTTGCTTTTGTATTTTTATTTTGAGTTCCTGGCACATAATAGGTACTTAATAAATCCTTGTTGATTTACTGATACCAATTTTTTATTTTCTTTTCTTCTGCATATATTCTGTCCCCACACCTCACCCCCAACTTGTGACTGTAGTACAATAATAATAGCTAAAATGTATTAAACATTTCCTTGGGTCAGGATAAACACTTGCCTGATTATTAGCAGAAAGAATAACATTGTTAAATGTCAGCACTAAAATTGTTAAATGAAAATATTATGTTTACCTAATCCCTCTGTGACAATTACTTTTAGAAAAGTGAATTAGATGATTTTTTTTTTAGGCTTCTTATGTTATCAGATTAAAGTCAGGACAGCTGAACTTTGGGATCAGCATTTGCTGAGATCATTTAAATTCAGCCAGCAATTATCAAGAATTTCCTATGTGCCAAGCATGTAACTTAAGGGAAAGCTCCACAGAGGGGGGAGATTACCAAATTCAATTTAATGTGTACTTTAAGGTCCTACTGTGCATAGAGTGCCATACCGAGACTCTGAAGACAGACACAGTTTCAATAAGATATGTCCCCTGACCTCATAGTATGGCTCACTCTGTAGCAGAGCATTGAATGGCAGGTAGGATTTTCATAGGCAGAGAGAATGAAGAAAGCTATTACTTATGAGCAAGGTAGCCAAGGCAGGAGAATGCAGGGTGTATTCAGGTTAGAGCTAAGGGTTCACTTAGGAAATTAGGAGAAGTTTCAAATATGAAGCTGACTTGGGTTATTGAGTCCCATGTATCCCTAAATGAAATGTCTGTGAAGAGGAGCAGGCTGGAATGGGGGAGAATACGTGTGTGTGTCTATATATAACTTCGTATGCCTTGACAAAGGTCTTTTTCAAGACACATATGGGAGGTGGGAGTTGTAGAGAGGTCTATCCATGTATTTAGACCACTGTGGTAACTGGTATATAATATAGGTATTGTAGAAAGAATTATGCTGAAGTAAATATTAAAGCCCCAAGGAACTTGTCTCTCACACCGTGCTGAGAAGGGATTTGTTACTCAGAAAACAAACAACTGCTAATTGACTGAACGAGTGCTCTTTTTTCTTTCCCTAGCACTTATCTAGCCGGCACAGTGTCCAACAAAGTACGTCCCAGGTAAGCTGCCTTTAAAAAAAACCTCTTATCATTTCCATTTGGTCGCCTTCTTTTAAGATATGAGAATGCGTCGGGAAATAATGGACTTCTTGTTTGAAGTCACCTTTCATCTTGGGATCCGTGACCCATAAATCAGCTGCCCTTAGAGTCTGTCAGTACTGTCAAGGATTGGGTTCCCTGCCCGAGGCTCCAGGCCCTCATGGGCAGCCACTTGGCAGTTACTTAAGGACGGCACATAATTTCTCGGTGGCATTGCGCTCCCTCCACAAAAGCTATCCCTTTCTCCTCCTAGCAGTGAGAACTCCTCAGGTAGTCAGAGGCTGGTGAGGTCACCCTCTTTATGAATATATAATAGCTTCATAATTTCAGCTCCAACCTAGCCTTGAAATTAGCTATCTAGAAGCAGCCTAAGGGAGATAGTTCTTCGATACATGTTTTTGCAGTTAGACTGCAGATTCATAGCGTACCCTGGAGCACATTCTGTACCCTCCTTAGCTGTCCGTGTCTCCGTTTGTAACATGGAAGTAATAACAACTGGTCTTACCTACTTGATCAGAATAGGATAAGAGTGAAAAAAGGTAATACGAAAGTGCATTCTGAACTTTACACAAAGTACAACATGAAATCCACCATGATGCCATGGAGGGACATGATCTGTATCAGCAGAGTTTGGTGGTGTTTACTGTCCATTTCAAAAGTTGATCCCCAGAAATTCTTTCTCAGAGTGGGGCCAGTAGCAGAGCCCCATCAACCTTAAACCAGCCTCTTGGCTTCTAGCTCCATGCCTGCCTTCCTGATTGCCTTATCATCAGGACCAGAATGACCAGATGCCAACACCCTCAATAAATACCCTAAACAGCACCATCTATTCAAGGCACTGACACAAATCTAGAACCTGGTTCAGTAGCAAGAATTCCCACCTTCTCATCAGTCTGAAATAATCCAGTTGCCAATAGCAACCCAATGACTTGTATTTTATATTTTCAATTGTTTTCATTTCTATTGTTCCTTTTGCTCTTTTTTATTTCTAGGCATCATATTTTTGACCTTTTGACCTTCCCATTTTTTGTGTTATATTCTTAGATGATAGTACCAATTGGTTCCGTTGCCACCTTAGTGCATATCCTAGTCAGTATTATTTATCCCCTCATGGCTAACAAACAGTGTCTTTTGCCGTGCTTTAAACGAAACTGAAATGAATGCAGCCATATTTTTAGCAATAACAGATCCTTTAATCTGCATGCCCCTTTATTAAAAAGAGTCTCATTGTCAGGGATGTTATTATAGCTTCATTTAGTATTATCTCAAGCGAGATAATATATATAAAAGTCTTTGAAAAATCTAAAGAACTGTGCAAACATAAGGATTATTCTAAAAGGTTATTTTAGTTAACTTTAGCTAACCTATCCCTGTATAGAGGAACAAAGTATTGTCAGAGTGTGTTTGCGCAGGCTTCTGTAAGGACTGGTACCATCTAAGCAAGTTTTGATACCCTAACTATAGATATGTAAATGAAAATGAGATTTTTTTTTCTGATTTTGTCAGAGCTCTACTTGTTATAAAGAAAGCTAGTAAAGTATCCAGTCTGTGGACCAAGAGACCTGAGTTCTAGTCTCTACTAAAGTCCTAGCCAGCTCTAACACGAGGATTTTATCATCTTTGTTCATTCATGCACATTGACAAAGAAAAAAATTGGCTTTATACCAGTAAAAAATTATATATCAAAACGGGGAGGAGGAGAAGAAAGGTAGAGGACATATGAGAATGTTATTAAAAATTGGAAATATTTCCCTGTAGTAATTCACTTAAGAGATATTGGCCCTGTTTAAGGGGGCATTGACACCCAGGCTCACATCCTATTGTCGTTCTCAACTCCCCATTCTCAATTGTCCCACTTCACCAGTCAGTTGCCAAACTTTGGCATTTCTTTCTCTATGATATATACACATGGTATTATATTATATATTATGTTATATTATTATATATAATATGTACTATAGATTATACAGTGTTACATATTATATCATACATGTGTGCATGTGTGTATTCACATAACCACCACACTTCATTCAGGACTGCATCACCTCTTACCTCAGCAATTGCAGTAGCCTTCTAATTCATTGTTCCCTCAAGACTCTTTCCACTCCAATCCATTCTTTATACAGTTGACAAAATGGTTTTCCCAAAGCACAAGTCTGACTATGTTACTCCCCCACCCCCAACTCAATGAATTTCAAAGGCTCCCCATTACTTCTAGGATCAACCAGACACTCCTCTGTTTGGCATTTATAGCTCCTCACAACTTGGCCCCTTCCTACCTTTCCAGTCTTCTTACACATTACTCACCTCTACAGATTCTCTGAATCAGTCATACTGGCCTATTTGCCTTTCCTTACATGTAACTGTCTCTGTATTTTTGCACTAACTAACTAACCCCATGCCTGGAACATTCTCCTTTCCCATCTACACTTCTTAGAATCTTTGACTCTGTTCAAGATTCAGTGAAAACTCCACCTTTTTCAGGAGGCTTTTCCCAGTCACCCTAGATGGTAGTGCTTTCCCTTCTAACATTACCTCCTGATGTCATTGGTCCTCTTCGAGAACAGAGGACAAACAACAACAATAATCACATTCTATCTACTTTATATATATCTACCAATTTATGAACATGTTGTCTCCCCCATTCGAATGTAAAAAAATATGTAAGGATTGTTTTTCCTTTTTCTTTGTTTCCTCAGTGTTTATCCACCATGCCTGGAGCATAGTAAGCCCTTAATAAATGCTTATTGATTAATTAGAATATGTTAAATATCACTGCATCCCTCCACACAGGTGGATACCATTCGTCCACGTCATGGAGAAGCCTGCCGGATACCAGTGCCGCATCATTTTTTCCTCAGTCTAAAGAGTTTCACTTACAATACCATTGGAGAAGATACAGATGTCTTTTTTTCCTTGTATGACATGCGAGAGGGCAAACAGATCAGGTAGGACTGTGACTAGTATGGATTTATTTTTCCTGCAAATAAGGTACTTTGGGAAGCCCAGGTAGATTGTTAGGGGAAAATAGCATCCTCCTATTGGAATGCATATTGAAGGTCAATATATTTATTTATTGCTTAGAGACCTTTAATGTTTAAAGAGTGTTTGCTTTGATTTTACTTCCTACAAAACTGAAGAAAGTTATTTGATTTATGGCCATCATGTTTAATGTACATGGAAATGAAGCCTCTAAGTGCTAATATAACAGCATAAAATGGTATCTTAAATATTTCATAATACCTCCTACACTTTCATTCTTATCCAAGTAAAAATAACATGCTATCTCTCATGTATGGTGAGATATGATGCAAAAGATTCTGTAGGGAATATGCCTTGAGTTGTTTTTCCATTTATGAGAATAGATTGGCTCCAGTTCATGCATTCTTCCCCAGTTTATGTTGTGCCCAGCTGCAAACGCATACCTAATGATCATCCAAGATTTTTTTAATTCAATTTGTGGCCATAGATCAACGTAAGCTAACTGACCCACATGGAAATTTAATTTATGCCCTTTGTCCTCACCATCACTATTATGTAACCAACTTACCAAATTGGCCAGAAATGTCCCTATAAGACTGAAATATGCCAAGTGCTTTTATCTTCTAATTTATTTTTTATTTTCTGACACAATATATTGCCATTACTTCAGGGTTTCGAAGGAGTTCAACTATGTTTTGTTCCCTCCACTCCTACAGATCATATTTCCTTCTCCACTTCAGTGTATTTCATGAGTTAGTGTGACCAAAGATAAAAAATTATCACCTGACAGCCATCTTTCTGGTGATAAACCTATCCACACTGAAGTGACATGATCCTTAGAAGAGAGATGCCCAGCGTGACACACATATTCAGAACCTCTACAGCTTTGTAGGACTTAATAAAGCAGTGGCCCCTAGTGTCTTCAAATATAAGCCTGCATCTCCCTAACATGATAGTAGTTGTACTTATGCCATCTATATGGAGGAGCTAAAACAAAATTGTGTTACTTGGTGTACACATGAATTGTCTCTGTTGGCAAGGTTCATGTTTCCTTGTGATACAATGATTATTTAGTGGAGATATCACATGTTTTAGAAGTACTAAATACATTTTAAATCATTTGAAGATGTCTTAATAATAAAGAATTCTATAACCTTTCAACCTAAGTAGAAAAAAAATCTAGCCAGGTACTTAATTTAACATATCCTCCTCTTTTAAATTGGTGATATTGAAAATTTTGCTTCAAGAAACACAATTTTAGCTTCCCAATATGATCATGACAGCTCAATATTCTTTCTTTACAATATTTTTGGTGCCATCCACTATATCTCAAATAAACAGTATCCCAAGGTAGCTCCTTAGATTTCTATCACCATAAAACTTTAAGCTTCTATTATGGTTGGATGTTAACTTGGTCTTATATCACTTTCAAAAGTAATCTACAGAACTCCCAGGGGATTACAAGAGTATTACGTAGGGTATAACTAATATTTACAAAGTAGAATTTATTTCCCTCTTGTATATGGCTTATCAGAAGAATTGTTTAAACTACTATATCTCAAAGAAAATGTTTCCATAGATAGACTTTCAATTTTCCTTTCCTCTTGAGGAGCCAAAGTAAGCAATGGGGATGCTAATTAATGAGAAAACTGGACCCTTCTCCATTCTGAAGTCCTACTATGTTGTTAGAAAATAAACAACAGTGATTTTTATTAATACATGCATAAAAGGAAATGTTCATAAATCATTCTTTGAGTCTTGATTAAACCTTACCTGGATCTGTGAACTGAGATATTAAAAATTTGCTTGAGGCCACTTTTTGCCACCAGTGAAAATTGTCAAGTATACTTTGACAAGTTGGATTTATATTTGTCTCATGCTTTAAAAAAAAAAAAGACTGTAAAGATCCTTCTGTCTTTTTGTTGTATTTTATAAGATCATTGTGTCAAGAAAGAGACATGTTAGAGTCATTTTCATAAATACTAAAAATACCCTACAACAAGCCTTCATGCAACAAAAAAATTGTCAAATTCCTGAAGCACATACAAGTGGATATAAATTTAAGCCACACCTTATTTGTCCATGTATTATGGAACTAGATGCATGGTTCTTATTGACTTTTATCTCCTTGAGGGCAGGCACCATGTTTGATACATTTTGTATATTCTAAGGCACCTTGCACGTAAGAGGTGTTTTTAAGAAGTTTACATAAATCAAAATGGGAGATAAGTTTAGACAAGCAACCTAGATTACAGGTGAGGCATAGGGGTTTAGATTTGATGGAATAGGTAAGTGGAATGATTTCTGAGTTTCTGAGCAGTGGAAGGCATGAAAATGGTATTTTAAGAATATTTGCAACAGGAAACCATCGCTAGGGTATTCCAGTAGCATTCTTTAACATAAGCATCACATAACCACATATAACTCTTTAATCATGACAGTCAGAAAAGAAATTTCAGTACATCAAGGGTCCCTCGATTTTTTCTCAAATCAACTAGCCGCAACTCCCCCCTTTCGTCTACAATAGGAGCTCTTCACCTTTCTTTATATCATGGACCCCTTTGTCTGGCAAAGTCTAAGGATCTTTCTCAGAATAATATTTTTTAAAGTATAAAATAAAATACATAGAATTACAGAAGGAAACCAAAGGTTAGTGAAAATGAAGGTGTAATGTTTTTCACATCCAAGTTCATAGAGCCCCCAAAATACATTCATGGATCTCCGATTAAGAACCCCTGGTCTGTATACACAATCATAAAACTCAAAGCTCAGTTCCTCTATACATAACTCAGTCCTATTGCAAGGTAATGGGTTTTCCCCATCCCCCAAGATTGTTCCATGCATGGCCAAACCCTCCAGAGGATCAATGTCCACTCAGTTTGGATAACTAAGTAATCTAAGCACTCAAGTTGGTCAATGTCTCATCAAAGGCAACTTGGGCCTTTAGCTCCATTGACGATCTGAATTGAATACTGATTCCTCCTCCAAGATCCCATTTCATCGCACTGCTATAGTGCCATTTGCTCTGTTTTGGCCAGGCTTCTCACCTTCACTGCCACACACATTCATGTTGAAGGGAGGCAGACATGGTATTAAAGTCTTAATATAGAAAGTACCCATAGAGCTAGAAGTCAGCTGCCTCTTTATGGTCTTTTTCCTTCTTGAAAAGTCTCACACATTAGTCTATATCCTAATTCATTTCCCCTGGACTCACTTAATCCTATCCATTCTTCAGCACTAAGCCTACAAATGCACCTGTTGACTTAGGAGAGCCTTTACATGGTGGGCATTGTTGAAACATTCTAAGGATTTACAGGTGAGGTCATGTAAAAGCCTAGTGCTAATGTGCCAATGAATTCATGTCCTAGCTGGCAGAGAGGGAAGCCACAGCCATACTCCAAGCTACACTAGCATAAGGTATTTAGGGCTCAAACAAGGGTGGTATAAGGGGTATGGAGAGGACTTGGTAACAAATGAGCTAGAGAAGATGAAGGAGAATTAAGACTCAAAGATAACCCCAAGGTTTCTGGCCTGAGATTTTGGTGACAGAGAAAGGATCCAGTTTGGGAGAGTAGATGGTGAGTATGATTTGGGAATGTATGGAATCAAAGTAGAGATGTCGAGTTGACAGGTGGAAATACATAACTGGAATGAACGTAAGAGGTCAGGGACAGAGAGGTTCTTTAGAGAGTTTGTGCACAAAGGTAATGTTGAAGCTCCAAGAAGGAATTCACTTATTTAGAGAATAGGAGGAGAGCAGAGAGATTAAAAAGCTCCCGAGAAGAATTAAGTACTGACAAAAGAATGACAAATGAAGAGGTGGGGAATGAACCAGGATGGTACCCTGCCAGAGAGACCAAGAAGAAGCTGTTCAAGAAGTGGAGAGTAGTTAATGGTGTGAAATATTGTTGAGAGGTTAAGCAAAAATTAAGGAAAGGATTTAACTAGACGTATCGGTAACCTTCAAGAGAATCATTTCAGTAGAGTGCTGAGAGTACCGGGATTGTAGCAAGTTAAGAAGGAAACAAGAAGACAAAAATATTGAAATGGCAATCCAGAATCTGGTTTCAAGTCCTGGTTCTATCATCTATTGGCAGTGTGGCACTGAGTAAGATGCTCAAATTTTTTGAGTATTAATTTCTTCATTTAAGATCTTTTCTAAAATGTTGTGCAAATTAGAGTTGTCTGGAAGTGCCTAAGGCAGTACTAGTGGGTTCCCAACACTTAACATCCTCAAATTAAGATTGTGCTAGTACAGCCATTTGCCAGGGGAATGTTGTTAGGTACAGATTGAGCTAAATTCTCTCTGATGTCCCTTTGAATTTTGGACATTCTCTGATCCTTTTAACATGTAGACAATAGCAAAAACCTAAATGTCCCACATGCTTAGCAGCAAAAAGAGGTGAAGATATAGACCTCGTGGGAAGAGTAGGCTAAGTGAAAGATACTTTAGGAGAGATGACCTATGAAAGAAAGGAAAGAAGGAAGAATTGGTTCTTAGCAAATGGATACCTCTTATGGGTTTAAATGAAGCAGATACTGTATATATAGGTATTGCTCTTCAGGAGCCTCAGAGGCTCCTACTACCATTCTGTAAATATTCCTTTTGGAACAAATTGAACCTGTTAGCTGTCATGAGGCCAGTGCAACAGACCTGTTGGGCAGATTCTGTGGGTCCTTTTGGCCCCGAGTCCCTCCCCAGAAGACTTGTAGGAGCTTCTTGAACAATAGATACAGCTCTGACCTTTGTAGCTGAATTAACATTGGAGTAATCCGCATCAATCACTATCATGGCCCAAATGACAGAGAAAATTAAGAGAGAAATTAGTCATTATACTCATATAGACTATGCTGTAGAAAGATCTAAATATGCCATGGAATTGAACTCATGGGGGAGAGAAATGTAAAATTCATAAGGCTATTGAGGATGTTAAGAACCCCAGAGAGTTGGTTTCCTTCACTGAGG